CGGCCAAAGCCATTCTCGAAGGTCAGACAATCCAGGCGGACTCGGGCGCTACCCTGGTAGCGCTCCTGGCGGTAGGCTTCCAATGCCTTCTCCTCGGTTTCAATGCGAGCTTGGTGTGTTGGCCGCATGCTTGATGACAATCCTGGGAATCATGGCGACCTGGCTGTTGATATTTAAAGAACAACGTCGTACTGAGCGCAGCCTAACGCTGAATAGCTTATCTCCCCTCGTTATAGTTGAGCCATGAGGAAGTCAGCAGACTAGGCCCCAAACACAAATCCACGGACCGCACATTGTTGTTGCGGGTGAGACATGGTGACCTTCGGGGAAAGAGCCCAGGTAATGTCAGAATGAATAGTTCAATCGTATAGACTTGATGTGATGGTCAATTACGTTCTTCCCAATCGTTCTGCATAAATACATCCGTGGTGAGGTCTTTTGAAAGAAGTTGAGGGATGGTGGCGGGTAGAGAACGGTGCGGGCAAAATGGGCAGGGACGGGGGAGAGAATGCGTCTACCGCCATGGGTCGATTAACGCATATCGTTGACCGGGCCCTCGACATACGATTATAATGCGCAATCAGGTCTTATCTAGCGGGCTGCAAACTCTATAATGCTAGTGATCCAGATGGCCCTAATCGGCGCTGTTTTAGGGGGCGAGTGCTTTAAAACTGGCACGGTATCGACAGATATCTAGAACCCTCTCATTGTTCCCCAGATACTGTAACTAGTAACAGATTGGAAACTCATTCCATTGCAGGTGATTACTGTATCATCCTGAATCCAGTACATTCCTCTGGAGGCCGGCGTGCTATTGGAGAAGATGACTTCTGCCCTATGCAGCGGATCGGAACACGAAGATTCCTGGTCGACCGACAGTCCTCTTCTTTCTGAAAACATTGAAGACCGTGAATTTATCATATCCGACTCCGAGACACTGTCAGACCATGGCGATAAACTTGAGGAAGAGAGCGAGGATTATATTCCCGTGAGTGATAAAGTGGCACAAGCGCCTGAGACGCTCCCTATCCATTCGCTGGTGACCGACGAGTTTCTGAGACTGGATTAGAACACACCGAAAGGCCGGATAAACCCGATTCGAGTGATTGCCAAGCGGCAGGTGGTCTCTGATGGTAGTTCCTCCAATGAGTACCTAGTGCTGTGGTACTCCTGGGAGGCTGGAGAGGCAGCGTTGGAGTTAGTTGTAGGGCTGAGCTAGTCGGCTATATCATTCGCCAATGATCCCCCTATCTGTGATGGTCCACTTGGAGGTGTAAAGTTGGTTGACCGCTACTGGGCCAGCTCGTGCTGGACGGGCTCAGCGATGCGCTCCATGCCGGCAAGAGCACTATGGCCTGAATATGATTTATTTTTGCCTTTCGGACCTTATTTCAGTGACATTCTAGAATTCAAGTGGAGGAACACAGCTAGATCAACGACATTCCCGAATTATCAAGTAGACACAAGGGGTGGGGACATAGTTTGTAGGTAATCTGCATATCGCTATGGAGGGGGTTTACAAAAATATAATCATCCTCCTTCCATCTAATCGTACAATAGTATGACGCTGTTCCTTTCATTCATGACAAGTGCATTCTTTTATATGCGGCATATAAAGTAGTAAGAATTGTAATGCATCCGTACGGAGGCATTGTGGGCATCACACAGATCCCTCACCCGTGCTTCGCGCCAGGAAGAGGTGAAGAGGGCGGTGTCTCGCATCTATTCTTCTACGCTGCCTTTGTCCTGCCTAAGGGTGCATCGGTGATGGAGACATTCGGCGAGTCCCCAAATAATGATGTTGGGGTATGTGTTCGCTTCATTCCTGATATACAACCACAAACTAAGGATTTTCCTCCTATTTTAAACAGACGGGCGGAAGCTTCCGCATCAAGAACGGGGCCCAAACCCTCTACAGCGACCTTCCGGACGCCGAGGCAGCGCAGTGGGAGTCATTCCTGACTCCCCGGTCTTACTTGGTGCAAACAACACCCACGACTCAAGTATTCTCATCTGAAATAAGGATCAATAAGTTAATATCAGGCAAGGTCTAGCATATAATTATATATTCAACAGATATTCATTATATTTTATTACGCTCAAGTAAGCTCATTTCTATTTAATGTATATTTTCGTCATTGCTAGTCAACTTGGATAATGAATAAAAAAAAATCAGAAAAATATCTTAGTTGAATTCGGCTAATATATAAATTTTCCTCGCTTGGTAAGGGGTGACGCACGATATTGAATAACTATCAGATCGGACCAAAGAAGGCCAACTGCGCATCGCTAACATCAAGGCCTGCCAGATTGCACTTACAATGGCTGTCATGTGGTTCAGTCGAGGAGGACTTGAAAGGTCGCTAAGTGTTTGGGTGGAACCCAGCCACCTCTGCGCGCGATCCCTCCTACCCCATGTCCAGGGGCACATGATGACCATGGAAGTAAAGCAGAATCTGACCCTACATTCCGAAATGGCCCATGCACGTCAAAGCTTTGGACGCGATGAACTCAGGTCCTCAATCCACAGGCCGAGTGGGATGGATGATCGGCGTGGGCATGGCCAGGTGACATCGGCCCGTAGGACCTCGTAACTTTCGGTGCCACAGTGGGCGTCTGAAGTACCTAAGCGACCCTTGAAACGGGTCGCAACCTGAACAGTGGGCTCAGTGGACCATTCCGAAAACAGTGGGACAACCGTGGTCCGGCAGGACACAAGGTTTATCCGTTTACTATTTCACCGTATCATTCACCAGCTTCGAAAGTAACAGTGACCGGTACAACCGCTGTCGAGCTACTTTATTGCCTAAACATCATCTTCCGAATAATATACGAGAATAGCTGATGCCTTCCATTATGGGCCACCTGCGGGAACGGGCACGGGCGACTACGCAGAGTTCCGCGAAGGCGCACTTACGCCCCAGGTCACCGAGCTCACTTAGCAATGTGACAAGCGCCGTGCTCAGGCAACTTACGGTGGCAAGACAGTAGTCAATTCCCTACTTGGCTAGATAAATGCGGAGGAGCTGGACATCGGATTCCGCTGCGTCCACGCAGACTTCTCTCGCTGCATACGCCATGCTTTCGGTGCCGGCTTTAGCAGCATCACCTGATTCCTTTGGGAGTCCCCAAAGAACCATAATACTTGTGTGGTAAGCCATGATATGTGTTGTATGATTAAGAAACCCTGGTACTATTCTAAGCACAAAAGAGGGTCCACTTACTGTAGAGTAAGAGCATGCGGTACTGTAACAATTCCCGAGTAAGACACTCCGGCAGATTATCTCTCCATTGATCTAAGCTTGCCCGTAGCTTCTGCAAAGTGCGTGCGAGACTATCCAGGGGCGGTATCAGGCCACTGCCAAAGCCTAGTGCGCTCGCGCGCGTATTGATGGTGCTCAGCTCGCAGAGGTTGTTGAACACACAAGCGATGTGTGACTGAACGGGACTAGCTTGGCGTGGATACTGAGTCCACGTCTCATCAGTGCCGTAATCGCATGGGAGACGAGGTTGATCTGGCTGAGTATTGCGAGATATTTGATCCGTGTAATTTACCTTTGATCTGCCTTTAAGGAAACTGACTCGCCGCAGGCAGGAGACGACTCCACAACCGGTTGTGGCCTGGGCTGGCTCATCCGTCATAGCGACAATCTCTGTCTCTCTTTTATGATCGTACATACAATTCCCCGGTTTGGGTTTTACAAACCCGCCCAGAGGAGAAAGTAAGAAAAGCGACATCTCTTTCTGTATGAGCCATGCGACTTCAATCCGCATTCATTTCACTTGTCGTCTTGGCCAGCCATGTCACTCATGAAAGCATTCTCCGTCGCGATAACATCATCACCCATGGTGGGGAAACCTATCGGGAGGAATATCATTCCGTGGCCTACTTTGTGAACTGGGTATGTGTACCTTGCCCCGCTCAAGAGAATATCTACCTACGTATCTTCCCTAGGCATTTTACGGTCACCGCTACGACCCTCAGGATCTCCCGGGTGACAACCCCACCCACATTCTCTATGCCTTTGCCAATGTGCGACCAAAAACGGGCGGAGTCTACCTTTCTGACCACTATGTGGACATAGAGAAACATTACGCCACCGATTCATGGTCCGATTCAGGCAACAACTCATACGGCTGTAGCAAGCAGCTCTACCTTCTGAAGCAACGGAATCGAAGCCTGAAGGTCCTGCTGTCTATCGGAAGCTGGACGTACTCTACAAATTTGCACAGCCAGCAAGCACGGATAGTAGACGGAAGAATTTTGCGCAGACGGCGTCAAGCTGCTCCAAGGCCTATGACTGGACGGTTTAGACATCGACTGGGGGTTAAGATGCGGCTCTCTTGTCGTTGGATGCTCTGCTCAAGACACTACGTCTAGTATATCGAAAATGACCAAGAGGCCAACGACTATGTCCTTCTACTGAGGGAATTGAGACAGGTGGGTCTGGACTTCGGAGCAACCACCGCATGAGTCGTTAACCTTGGACAGGCTCTAGGGGAATACAGCAATGACCATGCGGGAGGGAAGAAATTTCTGGTCACGGCTGCATCCCCTGCTAGTATGCCAAAACATCTAGGAATAATACAGAATGTATGGGCCAATTACTAACTTTGTCCTGGCAGACGGTAAGAGACTCAAACGTCCTCCATCTCAAGGATATGGACAAAATGTTCGACGTCTAAAACGTGATGACCTACCGCTACGCTGGCCGGTTCAGTGCCTATTCCTCCCGCCGAGCTAACGTTTTTGATGACCCGTACATTCCAAACAGCACTCCCTTCAATACCGACCAGGCTGTCCTTTAATATATCGATGCTGGAGTGACCGCTGATAAGATTGTCCTCGGCATGCCCTTGTACGGGCGATCTTTTGTCGCTACCGATAGACTGGGAAAGCCGTTCACCGGTGTCGGGAACGGATCCTGGGAAGCAAGTGTCTCGGATTACAAGGATCTGCCGCGCCCGGGTGCCAAAGAATATGTGCTCGACCGTGCAGTTGCAAAATATAGCTATGACCTGACTGCCAGGACGTTGATTAGCTATGACACCCCACGATCCGTCGAGCAAAAGGTTCATATGTCGCTTCAAGGGGCTCGGGCGGGGGGATATGGTGGGAGAGTAGCGGCGACAAATCCGGCAACAGTAGCCTCATAGCGACGGTACGGTTCACCCTAGCCCTAGACGAGCCAATGTGTTGATTATACCTTAGGCAGCCAACGCTCTCAGACATGCAAGGTGTCTGGAGCGAAGCGCAAATGTCTTGAACTATTCGATTTCCCAGTATTGGAACTAGGAAAACGGTATGGCGTTACGATAAAACACCCATACCATGGTCATATCCTCCATCAAATCCTACGGCATTTGGCCCCTCGCCATAGCGTGACGATCAAGAATAGTGGCGCTACTTCCGTATTGCGCCGCAAGATGGATCTCTTTTCGCCTGCACTTTTGTACTTCTCTAAGACACTCTCTCAACAGTCTTATCTACTACCAACTGGCACGTAGTAGGGCGGTATAGCGGCAGTCCTGGTAAATTCTCAAGGAATAACTGATTGTATTGATTATTACCTTAGTACTCTAAGTGCTTAGTATGAAGCTTAGCATATAAAAGAAGGGAAAGGTAAAACAGCAACAAGTTATCGATTAGGATAATTAAACACTACTTCAACACCCAGGCCATTTCGCCAAATATAATGGTACAATGGGATATTGAGACACGCTACCGGGGACAGCAATGGCCCCGCTAAGTCAAAACCAGCGAACCGCAGTGATACAACAGACAGCACCCACAAGCCACAAGGACTCCTTTCAACCTCCTCTTCATCTCATGCTTATGCGCTCCGCACTACCTCCAGACAACGAGACACGCTAGAAGCATCATCCTCCGGACGCGGGCGCCCTATCTCGCCCTTTGGCTTCTCCAGGGGGATATTTAGAATACGAGGTTGGAATCTCGGCTGCAACTCCTTCTTCATACTCCTTCTGCCCCAGAAATATCCAACCCCCATCATAGCCACGGCTATGCATGCTAGCGGTATTCCAACTCCGACTCCAATCGCAATCTTCTTCGGCTCATCGGAATTGGACTGGTCCTTTTCGCGGCTGATGCTGCCGCTGCTACTGTCACCGGATAGAATTCCAGTTCCTGTTGTCGAGGGAGCAGAGGTAACAGAAGTATCGGAAGCAGAACCGGACTTGGAACTAGAATTCGAATTGGAATCTGAATCGGAGGTAAACTTGATGAGTGCCGAGTCCAGAGTGAATGTCTCGTAAGTGTTGCAGCAGGCAGCGGTACTACCGCAGCACCAGGAGCCGTCGCCGCAGTTGGTCAATTGGTAGGTCCAGTCTGAGTTTCCACCATTCTACCGGTATTATTAGTTGCTCACAAATTTGCTGCACAAAGTGGAGGCTAACCTGATTGTCACAGATATCCTTGGGTAAACAATTAGTCGAGTTCCATGATCGATCCGTGCAGAACTCCCGATAATATGTTCCTTCACTCGTCAGGCAAAGTCCCGAGGGATCACACGTATCAGGATCCTCGGCATTGATTTTACAGCACATTGAATGTACACCTGAAATGGAGACGCATGGCTGATATATGAAGCTGGCCACTTGTGATCCATCAGGTGCGTAGCATGACGATGCTGTCGCTAGAGAAATATAGCTTGGAACGAGGGCCCAGAGAATGTGCATGTTTCTTTTCGTTGTGGCTGCCTAACGATACCGATTTCGAAGCTGAATAAAATACGGCTTTCAGAAGAAAAGGAAGGAGATCATTAATATAACTTGAACAACGTCTAGTTAATGGCTAACTACGGCATTTCAACATACCCTGAACATTTGTGTAACGATGCAGATTTGCCAACCGGTTAACTTGTTCCCGTCCAAAAAGTTGTGGAGATTATCTGACAAAACCCCATTGAAATATAAGAAGAGGGAGGCTCCAACTGGGTCCTTGCCTCCAGCTTTCTGTTTTATGGTATGGTGGTTTCGACTCGGGGGAGTTTAACAGGATTCCTGGTTGGTGTACCTTAGCATCGAGAAGACGCCATCAATGGCGAGCCCGATCGGCAAGGCGGGAATGCTATTGCGTTGTGCAGAAAATGGGACAGAACTTGTCAACTAGGCCCACTAGCCTGGCAAGCTCATTCTAGGAGGAATACTCTCCTGCTAAACATGTTATCTTCCACTTAGATATACCTCGCTGCTATGTTAGCTATGACTGACCGGCACGGGGAAAGGAAACCTGGATACCGAGAAACCAGGGTTAGAGCTGGAATGCACCCAGGGCATGTTAGGTTTTTCACAACAACAGCAAAAGCTTCCATCAACAGTGTGCTGTAAGGCCCATTCCTTGGCAACCGTTGCATGCCAGGGCGGGCATGCAGGTGCCCAAGGGGTGTTTGGAGTGCGGGACCTCGTTCCCAGATAAACCCCTTGTTTCAATGATAGCCACAGATGGAATTCCAAGATTGTTTTAAAAACCATGGAAGACACGCCAGCCAAGGGATGAAGGACGGGAAGACACATTCTCCTGGCACAACAGCTCTAGAAGATAGGAGATCACTAGGGGGCACTCCTTTCTGCATAACAGTGCAGGGGCTTCAATCCTACAAGAAGCGTCCAACCCCTTCGTAGCCGCAGACGTCTTACTAACAGATAGACTACTAAGGGCTTCTAGGACATTACTGTGTGACCTATCTTAATACGTGACCCATAAAAGTCACCAAAAATTTTTGGCATGAAGGAACCATATACCATTTGTTTTCCCCCTCCCAAACGACGCCCAACAAGGAACAAGTCTTACTTTGCCTCCCCGAAAGCAGGCGGAGTGCCCTCAACTGCCAAGGCCCGCATATCATCGTCACCCATCGCACCACCCCGCCCCTTCGAGACAAGGTAGGCCCGGAATTTCTCATCGCGGATTCTCAAATCATCCCCGAAATATCCGGAGTGAGGAAATTGAGCCACCAAAATCCCCACAACACCGCAAATAGCTACAATAATAAACGGTAAATTTTTACCCGAGTTATTCTCAATGGGTGTGAATGCTTGAGTACCAATAGCGCCACCTACTTTCCCTACAGCCGCAGACAACCCATAGCAAGTACTCCGGAGACCGGTGGCATACAGCTCCGATGAAAATAAGCCGAGCATGTCCCCCGGGCCGAAGTTGCCGGAACTCTGCATGAGGCTGTAGAAGACCACGAAGAGGGGATGATCTTGGCGATTTTCTCGTATGCACAGCCAATAATTAGACCGAAAATGAGGTAGCCGCCAAACCGACCATCATTACGTTTTCGCCACTGAGCTTGTTATAGAGGAGAGCTCCGAGGGAGACACAGGGGAGGGAGATGGCCCCGAGGAGTTGCCATTCACCGGTTTTGAGAACCGAGTCGTCGCCGACCACAGAGGAGATGATGGTGGCGGAGAAGACGCCGTTGGGAAAAGTGATGAAGTCTGTATCGACGGTTAGATATGGTTGGTAGACCAGGTGATGGGAAAGAGTACGGGCCGTATAGGTACGAGGCACCACAAGTTCCAATGAGCGACTTCCAATAGTAACAATGTACCAGGCCATATGGAACTTATTTCTTGATGGCTCCGCGACGATAGAGCGTCGAGCTCTGCATGCGCCATCGGAAGTAGAACACGGACAGGGGCCAGATGCACCCGAAACCGGAAGCAGACGCGCTGGACGGTGCTGTAGTGGGATGGCGGGCAGGCTGAGAATACGACCAAGGAAACCAGAACAGTAAATGTGCCACCAAATGACAGCTGAAAGTTTGTCAGCATGATGAAAGCTGGACCACGCTGCTTCAGGGTCAAGTCATTGGCGGTTTCGGATGCCGTCGAAACTGAAGAGGGAGGATATTCACCACCAGTTCCTGAGATATCAGCAATCATAAAATCAACGTAGTGATGGACTTTATCACTGTACCGAAACCAATAATACCACGCGAAACGTTCAGCATCCAGAGATGCCGTTGATACTGACACCGTGCGATGCGGCGCCTAGGATACCACCGATTACGATCATAAGTGGTGAAGACCATAGCCGCTTTGCGCCCAATGTAGTCGCATGGCAGACTAGACGCCAAGTTAGCAGCTTCCCTAAGAGACGAAGGATGGCACAGAAATACCCGGTGACAATCTGACAAAGATTTTCTCCAACAAGCAGGCATCTGACACGCTCGTGGCAACCGCCGAAACGTATTGCATGGGGTACTCTGTTTTCTATAGTACGTAGGTCAATGAGTTACCAGGATAAGCCCTACTAGCCGGATCAGGAAGTAGCTCACTACATACTACTCTGCAGTAACCCATTTGAGTGAAGCAAAGCTCGCGAGAAAAGTCCACCATTCAAGTATTGTCTCATCATTATCCTGTCTGGGGTTCTCACCAAGCGCCCAGAAGAAAGTCCATTCATTACCAACTTCCTACCTCTGATTTCCTGCATTTGTCTTTATGAGTTCCACAAAACTTGTGTTGATTTAAGGTTACACAATCCTAGCAAGACAGTGTGCATTACGTTGATATAGATCAGCGAAGTATGCACATACTGTAACGGACTGCAGAGGAGAGCCTGAGGTTTGTTTAACATATGCCCGCCAAAACAGTATGATACACATGACTGCGTGATACCATCCCAAGTAAGACATCATTGACAACCTAGGAAAATACAGCCAAGAGATCTTAGTATACTACCAGGCATATGCTGGCAGGCTGAGGATGCATGGCTTGAATAGGGGAATACACACCTGTGAAATGCTATTTCGGCGGCACCGCCGTGCCGCTGCTAGCTGCTACAGCGGATCTGTGCGCCAAACATGACCCACACGGCGGCGATTGCTACCAACCAATGAGGACAGACGTGTGAATGCCAGCGCCTGTAGCCCACGCTGCACCGACTCCCTAGTGGAGCTGTCAGCTGGAAACGCACGACGTCCAAATGAAGGTCCTTGCAGAGAGCTGGCTACTGCCTTGCCCACGGGCAAAAGTAGGGACTGAGCCGAAATTTTCTTATGTTCTCTATGCAGAAATTGAACATCATGTCTGCTGCGTGATCCTCCTGTCCGTGCTGTTCCACCGTGTTATCTGAGCCACGGGAGGATGCAGAGAATAGGGATCTACGGTCCAACAAAAACTTGTCTTTTACCCAGCCTGGGGTTCAAGGGGCATGGCAGCAAATACCAATAAAATTTGCCGGTAACTGTCACGGGCTTAGCAATATGTGCGAGCCTTTCACGCATATAGAACAGTCCTTGAGTTGCCTTTCCATCATGATTGCGCAGATCAATCCGGCCATCTCAATATAGCAAGAGTACCTCCCCCCCGTTTCTGGCAGCAGCCGGGTAATAGAAGCTAGGATATGCCACTCAGAATTTGGGCCTAGACCACAATTTGAGCTGTCCGCTGTGCGGGTCAAGGCCGCGGTATGCAAGTACGTCCGGAGTTGGATTAGTGTGGGGTCTGTGGTCGGGATAAGGCAACTAACTGGACAGTAGGCAGCCATCCGATCTTCGCTGGATTGGTGACGAATGTCTGTCATGGGCAATGGAATTTGAACTTGATTGTTACTAAAACATACACAATTAGTATGTGCAGATCTGTTATACACTCTAGGTATTATAAGGCATGCTTCTTGGGCCAAACACTATAAAGTGCATCGGCCCCCATTATATGGAACGATTTTCGATCGGCATCCGCAGGCAGCTGATGGTTAGAAGTACCACTCAAATCCTTTGTTTGGCACTTCGAAAGTGGAGAGGTCGATATACACAGTACTGTCATAAATAATATAGACCGTTAGCGCTTTTCCCCTGCTGACTTTTCCCTAATTCAACTTGGCATCAGAGCATGTACATGATGCTTCTCCATTGCAAAGATGTAAGACTCATGAGCACAGTGTATGTGCAAGGTGTCACAGGCAATGACAATCGCCCTGGAGATAGATCACGTACCGAGTTCATTTACATGTATGCGAGAATTTCAGGTTAAAGCTTTCTACTATCTGAAAGTTTCATGGTGACTTTTCGTAGCAGCCAAAACGGTTTCCTGTATGTAAATTGGATTCATTTACAGAGTCAGCCTAGTTATCGTATGGATGGCTCATTCATCGTGCCACCTAGGCGCATATTAAGGAAGCACAAACACAACGCCATCCCCGAATACCTCCCAGCTGGTGATTGGTCCTGTGGGGCGCCTCATTTACCCTTCAGTGTGCTTGCGGTATGATACGTCGTTCAGCCTGCTACTCGGCCTCCAATCAGCGTGTCTGTCCAGACACCCTGCCTCTATGTGACACTGCATGTCTTGTTGAGTTGGACACCAGTAGTACTTCTGTTTCGGTGCGTCCCCGCAGATCTCCTTTTCCACCCACTTCTTCCCCATTTCCGCCCGTAGGTGGGTGCCACACACGGTGGGGGGGGAGGGGCTGCTGGGGGACTTTACTCCCATTTTTGTCACCTGTATCATTCCTAATAGTTCTCACCCCCTTTGACATTTACCCTGCTTTCCTTCGAGTCATCACTATTAAGTATCAGTTCCCTCTATCCACATTCTGACTTCCTCATTCAGCTCCTTTATGCGCCTCTGGCCTTGTGATGCCTCGCCGTGGTTTTACTCTATTGCTAGTCGGGCAACTTCCTCTTACGCTAAGTAGCGGCTCACCTTTCCATAAACCTGGACCGGCGCTTTATCCCTCGGATTATCCCTCGGGTCATGGGACATAGTGGTGGGCGCCGTCATTACTGCCTTTGGGAGCATTGCAACAAGGTATACCCTTTCTTCGGATCGTTTTCTGTTTCATCTTAGTCCCATCATCCATTACGCCAGACTAAATATCACGCTTACGGAAGCAGGTCTTCAATCGCAAAGCAGACCTGTGCAGGCACTACCGTATACATACCAATGAACGGCCGTATCACTGCACTGTCAAGGACTGCAATAAAAGTTTCATCCAGCGAAGTGCCTTGACGGTGCATTCGCGGATCCATACAGGTGAAAAACCTCATGTTTGTGAAGACAGAGAGTGCCGTAAAGCTTTCTCTGACGTACGTACTATATCCTCCTATCATTGTCTCCTAGCGCTGACCGCCACGAGTCATCAAGTCTTGCCCGTCATCGGAAAATGCATACTGGAATTCGGCCATATATCTGTCAGAAGTCGACATGTAAACAAATGTAAGGATACAGTCAGTTATGGCTCCGCTGATTTTCTAACACTACGGAGGTTCCGCCGCAAGGCGACTTTGACCAAGCATCAACAAAGGTCCCATTCACAAACCATAATCCCATCATACTCAAGAAATGCATTTTCCAAAGATTCTGATCCAGGCCAAGTTCCTATTCCCATCTCGAATGAACCGCATCTCTCAATTCAGCATGCAAAATACCCTTATACACCGTCACCGATTCTTGACTCTCACGCCGTCCAGAGCCTGTACGTAGCACCAGCTCCCGTACAAGATCAAGCCCCGATTGTGACGCAGCCCATAATTGTCGCATCACCGGTCGACATACAACGTGCCCAGCAATATTGCATGTGGTTAGTGCGGCAGCCACATCATGGCCATGTGTACCAGGAATATCTGCCACTGGGGTTTCAGCAACCCTATTGTAGTCTTCCAATCGCAGAATGCCCTTCGCTTATTGCAGGCGCCTCCTCTTCCCTTTTTACGTCGCCCTCACCGCACGAAGCCACCTTGCGGGCAGCCGCAGAAGATATCAGAACTGCAGATATGCCTCGCACATGTTTCTAATGTAATGGAGACCCGGCAGGATCTGCCAACCGGCGTGTCAACTAATACGCCCACTACAAGGGCCTGATACGACACTTCCGGGATGAACATTTGAATGACAGTTATTGTAATTACTGCAACGAACTAACATCCCATTACATGCATTGGCGGAGGCATGTTAAGGAGAAGCATCGCCTAAGTATCTGATACCGTGGGGAGCATCCCGGTGGTTTTCTTTGAGTGTATTTATATTCTTGTAAAGCAGGCATACTTCCCAGCAGCGGGCTGTGTTGAATAGAAACGAATTTATTGATAGAATGATCTGGAGCAATGGCGCGCAGGGATATGACGGGATGAATTGATGGGTCTTTCGATGCGGCTTGCTGGGGGTTTCGAACTTTGCGTATCCTACTTCTAGAGATGATAGTGAGCCAGCTATGCTTTTCAGATGTCCTGTTATATCAGTAACTTCCTGAGGCCGGAGCTGGCTGAGATAAGTCTCTGTGGTAGTATAACATATCGTCCAAAGCTACCGCAGTGAGCACTCTCATGCTCCAGGATATATATGAACTAGCAAACCATTCATATACATATGTTTTAAAAGCCCGAAATACCTCTCCAGGTCCATGACGGCAATTATTGTCAAGCCATGAATTTCGCCAAGAAAGCCCCTCAGATATTGAAAATCAAAATCAGCGTAGGCCTCTCGGTACTCGGAATTTTTTGTCCACTCTTTTGATGGGCCGCATAGCATCTAGTAGGCCAGTGCCTATTCTCTCGCGTTATAAGCCGCTTCCGAATAGCCAGTTAGCCTTGGACACGTTTACTCCACGGTCTTCTCGTTTCTTAAGGTTACTACTTCTGAACGAATACATGTGCCCGCGCTAGCAAGTTACAGGCTAAGAACCCTCTCACACCAATCAGTATGCATGCTCTAGCCGCCACCAACAATTTTCTCTGCCTATCACACCTCATCTCAAGGTACATGACGTGTTCAATTAGAGTCAATGTGAGGGCCTGGGTAATTTGTAATTTCTTCGCTGTCATGAGGTTAAACCACTATAAACACAGCTCTTCCTCGGCAGTGCTAAGATCAAAGCTCTGTTTGAACGTGCGCAAGTGTTAGTCTTGTGGAAGTATTTTAACGCTTCATTTTTTATTCCAGATAGTCGTTTCTCAGTCCAACATAACCCTTTGCGTTGACTGCGACCAACGGTTCCCTGATCAGCATTCTCTGAAACAGCACTTACAGTCACCTAGGCATCGATGTGACGAGTCAACAGATTCTTAAATCTGCTCGTTCAAAAGAACAGCATATACGGACCGCGAATAATTGTTGTTATCCCGGTTAAGGAGCAAACGGCGAAGGACGCCCGGAACGACTGTCGGAACATACTGCCCTCCGGTACCGCCTGCCCCAGTGGTCCACGTTGCTTAGTAATATGTTAGTAAGCTAGATTGTTCGCTAGACGACCGTACGCGCCAACCAAAAGACAAGAAATACACTCACTGCCCACAGCGGCCAGCTATCACGTGACAAGCATATACCGTCATATACGCCAAGATATACGGTACGGTATAAGATATATGGCACCAGTATACAGGGAAGTATACGGGAACGTATACGAAGGATAGGGTATATAAGGACACTCATTGTGTACTTAGCTAGTTTTATTCTTCTTGCTCAATAACACCTGTCTCTAAGTAACCATACATTCGGGAGTTTATGTTGAAACGCGTTTTAGGTCAACATTGAAGCCGTATTGAACGCTTTGTTTTCTTCTATCTGGGCGCGCTCGGAAGGAGCGGTTGAAGGTGTTGACTGTTGAGTTCTAGGGTCACGTGACTTTGCCTACTTGTAATCTACTAGTAATCTACTGGGAGTTTGTTCCAACAGTTTACGTAGCGATAGATCACCCGTCCGCGCGTACTTACGAATAGTTGCGCGGCACTGTTCGGCTCTACACTTCTCTTCACTTGCCCAAGACCCATTGTTCCTAGATAGCCCTCAGCCTGAAACCCCCTCGACTCAGTCCGACGGTACATATTCTGGTAAAGCTAAGCTAACAGGGGACAGGGAAGCGTTCCCAGGGGTTGACACTTAGCAACAGTACACCCGTCCGCATGTACTTTGAAAGTGTTGCGAGGCACTATACATGGGCATGTGAAACATGGAGAGGCAAACAAGGAATTCCATACTAAAGTCGATGGATACAGGTGTTTCATTTCCGGCTGGTGATTGAGGGTAGGGCAATAGAGGGCGATCGCGGGTTGAGCATGAAATTGTAGCGGGTCCCTACTATTAAGTCTGTGCCTACTATCCACTCGTTGCTTCCTGGCATAGAAGGGTAAACTGAATGTTATTGCGTATACAGAGATGCCATAAGAAGACTTAGCGATCTGGTTTCTGCGGGCGCTCGCTCCAATGCCCGGTCTCAAGGATCATGCTAGGACAAGCGAAGTTGGATTTTTAAGAGTCCGTAAAGAGCAGATTTCCAAAGACTGAATGCTATTGCATAGGATGGGAGGTTTCAGGGACAGAGGCGGTATCCATGGGATTCCTTAACCCGCTGGAAGAAGCCATGTAAGAGCTACAATAGCACTAAATGAAACCGGTGTTTTTAGCGCCTCCCGGGCTATGGGTTCAATCGCGGTTACCGTTGAACATGTTGCACGGGCTGAGCGCGTGCAGTTGGACGTGTGTTGAAAGCAATTCATACCGCTGTTGCAAAGGGGCTGATACAAGCACCGGCTCAGGATCCACGCTTGGGCCGAGTAAGCACTAGTCAAGACCGGTCATCTTTGGCACGACTTTAGAGTTCGAGTATCCAGTCTAAAATGATGGCCCTTTCAAAGTAGAGAATCGTCAACTGCGAGTGTGACCCAGATGAACGTCGCTTAGAATGATCCCTTTTCAACTTTTCGGTTCATGATCAAATATCCCACTATGATTTAGTTGCCTTCTGTTGATGCATTTTCTCGGACTGTCAGAGGTACTCCATTTTCGAAAAATATACTAAGCACACTGATACTACCCAAGGATTTAGTGGCGAGACCTAGGGTCGGTAACATAGAGTCTAATCGGGTCAGAGTAGTAGTAGTAGTAGTATATTCATACGCTGACCCCTCGCTTAGGCGATATGCAGGTATCCACTATGGAGCTATCTCTCTAAATACATGTCTTTGCTGTAAACTATTGCTTTCCTGACGAATTTGGAGCTTCGCCGAGGCCTGTGATCGTTTCTCTTCCTCTCCACCTTGCCATAAAGAGAAGGGTTGAGTACTTTTGTGGGAACGAATCCCATTGTTGTGGTAAATGTGGTGCCGGCGATGTGAATCGAACCTACCACCTCCAAAAAGTGACCAATCCCGCATTTTTGGAAGTCGCCTCGGAGCGCTTACCACTACGCCACCGCTACCGGCCATAGGTATCTGAAGATACGTAATAGCAGCCTTGGGAACAGGGGCTGCGGTCGGAAAAGGGCCATGCTCGCTTACTATCGCCACATGCAGAGCTGAGCTTAGCTGACCCCTAACTTTCCCTGGAGTATTTTGATATGACTTCACCCACCGCTCCAACTTATTCCCTTGTAGAATGTTTCTTCTTTCTCCATGGAACATCGCAGCAACGGAAGCCGAATGCGGAATGACGCTTTGCCCAACATATACAGGACGCTTAAACACCCTCCCTGCACCCTGTGTGTTCTGGCAGTCTCAATGAGAGCTCATCAGGAGGCTATAGTGGACCGAGACCAAATGAATCCGTCGTGTTTAGTCTTCATTCGACCGTGACCCCCTTATTCCACCGCATTCGTATTTGATTGCGGTCGCCATTTGCAGTCATTCCTTGTCCGCTCGGTTGCACCAGCTCCGGCCTCGAAGAGCATATTTCAGTGGGGCCCTATGATCAGAGGTTATTTGTGTGCCGCGGTTACAATGATACACCAGGTCATTTTCTACCGTACAACACTAAATCAACATTTGTGTAAGGCGACCACCCAAGAGGAGGTGAAACAGGGCTTACTGGCAACGAGCTGATCGAGTCCATACCGTAAATGCTGTAAGTCGGATGAAGGGTGTAGAGGGCCCTCAAACCGTATCGGGTTGTCTTGCCGGCGGACTTTTGGATTCCGGGAGGGCTTCCTTCGCTTGACGTGCCATGGAATGGAAAGTGAAAAATGAGGATTGGAGCTATTGTTTAGCTATTATGCGAGTCGAACAGCCGTCGACTACCTACTTTCATACTGTGACTTCTCATCTCAGAATTTCGCAGTAATAACGACTAAACACACTTGAGCCAAAAGGTACGCATCAGCTGGATGTGCGAGAGCTCAGAGTTTGACCTATGTCGACGAATTTTGCGTGGCCTGGACTGTCTTCTGTTAGGCGCACAAATTTGCTGCAAATGACGGCGCTAGCTTAGCGACCCTTGTAGGAAAAGGCCCGCGGCACTTATCTAGTTGATCTATCTACGTATCTACTGTCCATTATGATGTAATCGCTGTAGGATCCATTTCCGTCGCCTGGGCTTGGGGTCAACGCGTTTTGACATTGACCCTCCCTACTCTGAACGGTGTTGCAATAAGAGGTGCTCGATGGTCCACAAGGATTACTGTCTAGGACGCCGCGAGCTCCAATTATCCTCGTTATCTTGAGTGTAGGCCATATAGCAGAAAGCCGGTTCTGGATATTGTAACCTCCTTATTTGCGCGGGTTCTTCGCGTATCCAATTAGTGTTTTTGATGTGACGCGAATGGCAGCTTCAACCCCTCCGTTTCTATCGGGTTCAAAGTATAAGCGGGTTAACACGCAAGACTCAAAATGGCGCACATAACAAGCAAAGGGCAATCTGCGCAAATGCTGAGAGCGCTTGCGGAAAGGTGTAATGCTTGGATCATAAGAGTAGGTAGCCGACACAGCAAATCCGAAAACGGAAACAATCAGCGATCCCAGAAGGGAGATTGTCTGAGACCTTCCACTATGAAAGATACAACTGCAGGAGAGAAGTATTTACGACAGGAACGGACAGCATATCTAGTTTCTGTTCGTCGTAGCTCAGCCAGATCCTCGGAAATGCAACCCACATAATATCAAAAAACCAAGAACATTGTTGGGGTCGTGTAACCCCTACAACACAGACCACGCTGCCGACGAGGAAACATTTAGGATATCGTCCAAGATATGACTATAAAGAAGGGGGAAGGCAACAAAGCGCGTATATGGCGACAAGTTGTCATTTCCCGAGAACTCCTATTAACCGTACCCAAAGGAACGCCCCCGATTGACGCAAGCAAATCCCCAAAATAAGGCATGCCGCTTGAGCAATGTATGCGACCAAGCGTATCTCACGCAACGCACCAGGCGCCCATAGATTGAAAGCCAACTGCGAAAGGGAAAGTTCACTTCTGTTTCTGGTCAAGCAAGGCTCAATCGGAACGAAGACTTATGAGCGATAAAGGAAAACAAAGAGCGTTGTAATATGCGGTGGCAGGATTAGTAGCTTAATTTGAGCTCGAGGGCTGAACTAGGATTTCCTGGCCCCGTAACTGCGGCGTTCTTGAATGACGATACCTCGGACATTTCAACAATCATGTCCTGGCCGTCAGGAAGCTCGCGCACATCATCATCCACCATTATTTCGAGGCCATTTTGCTTGACATGGAGGACACGCACTACACGCTGCGGATCAATGCGCTGTTTTATGGTAATCTTCTCGATCAGATCGCGAACTGTCCGCTCAGTCAGATAGACGGCCCGGTAATAGTCATCCGAAAGCCGATCGTTACAAGGAAATCGTACGTAGAAACAAGCGAATAGGATGATGTCAGTTCGCCTGTCTTTGGTGTTACCGAATCAGTAACTTAACTTGAGATTACTGGTCGCTCCGCCGGTGGATGATAATTTGGGTCAATGTCTACTGCCTCTATGTATCCCATGTTGGCGTTACCGACGGTTGAAGTGAACTTCGGTACTTTGACGGGATACTTTAGCGTGACCATGTCGCCCAGGACTTCAGAGCATGGTAGTGAATTTCCTCGGGAGGTGGTCAATGATCGATGGTACCCTGAGCAATAGAACGTATTCGACTGCAGATTGGTAGGAAGGAATGGCGAGCTCACGGAGATGCTACTGCTGGTAGGTGAAACGGCGTGCAAAGACGAACCATCAATACTGAGCCGAGACCCGCGACTGTTCTCTTGTTCGACGAAAACACGCGACTCGGGCAGCATGACAGGGTACAACTCCGGGTCGTCTTGCTCTTCACCCCGCAATCCTAGGACGCTTACCGGCCGCGTTGATGTGAACATGCCTTGCATTAAGGCAAGCTTCGCATGGAGATCGCCTTCCAAACGCATTTTGCCAGGGCCGTCCTGCGAGCCCACGGACCGTACCCGTTTATACTTGCTGATTTTGGCTGGGCGGGGATCAGCGCCCTTGAGTGCAACCAAGCCATTGCTACGCTTACGCTTGCCGCAGTTACCGGGGCCCATCTCAGCTTGAGCAATCTGTTGTCGAAGCTTTTCGATGGTCTTCTTAACATGAGCGACATCACAGGAGAGCTTCCGCTCAGCCCCATGGTCGCGGAAAAGCTTGACCTTGCAGTAGCATACCTCTGCCCTCCTGCTCGGGGTTGAGCTCGCATAATCCGGGGAGAGCATTTCTGTCTTCGCACACAATCTGACCGGAATACCCTTGACACCCTTGGACAGACTGAAATCTGTTGATAGGAAGTTAAACCGGACAGGTATCAAACATTCTGAGGCCCCAGTTGACGGGTTACGAGTCCATGTGACGCAGAATCCATCGAATGCTGAGCTCTCGAGCTGGACCTGCCGGTTCTTTGTCTCTTTGATGCCTCCCTGTATGGGATCGACATACTCCATTGCTTGGAGCTTGCCGCCTCGTCGATGCGCTTCATCGGAACCTCGACCTTCTTTCCATAGTCGCCAACAAACAGCTGGCTTTGCCCTCTGCTCTTCTTCTTGGAATGACACACGGATATAGGTTCGATATTTGATCGATCGCATAGTCATGGGGGGCGGCGTAGAATCAATCACGGACACCGAGTACGCCTGGCCTTTGTTGAGGTAAGTAACTGGGATCTCGGCTTGGCCATTGATCATTGCTGTAGGTGCGCGCAAAGTGATGCGATAGCGAAGACTGCAGTGTCCAGAACGGTTAAGCACTGTTAAACAGACGCAATGAGATAGGCTCTAATAGCTCACGTTTCACCTGGGTTCGCAATGCTCGCTTGATCGTCTTGAATTGATGATGCAAGGTTGTGAGAAGGCGTGCTACTCTGCACATCCATATTGTTTAGAGAGTGTTCTTCAACAGGCTCGTCCATGGCATCGTAACCTGCATCACTCTGAACGAAAGCCGTGGGTGCAAAGGTTGGCTGCTGAGCAAACGGCTGGGGGCAATGGAAGTGTGGGGGAATATATTGCTGGTCGAAGTTATCAAGACCTGAGGCTGCAGTTTCGGGGTTGACGGGAGCTGCAGAAACCTGCTGCGGGAGAGAGAGCGGAGTAATCATACTCAGACCCGTCACAGGAAAATGCAATTCCCCCGCTTGACTATGGTACACGGCACCCAGTCTACCTGAATTGGGCGTAGAGCTCCTATGTGGTTGTAGCGGGATTACATAAGAGACAGCGTTCGGATCGGTATAGGGAGCTGGAAACCGCATGTCTTCTGTTGCGCGGGGCGTAGAATCACTGAGCTTCGTATCGTTATTCATTTCCCGCCTGGCGCAGTAATATCATGTTAGCTGTCGCCCAGATCGTAGTTTTTCAGGCTATTGTCTCTGATGAATAAGAATGGGAAACGGACAACAAGTAGCAGCAGGTTATCATCTGCTGAAAGGCATTTTTACCTAGTCGGAGTGATAGGTCCAATGGGCGTCTGACCGAAGCGCGTGGCATTGCGGTGGACGACTGGGGAAACAATATCTGAGAAGGTCTTTCGAAATTTCTGGATGAGGAGGTCGTCTGGCTTCTGGGAATTCTTTCTGCAAGGGTGACATCCCGATCAGTATGAGAATGGCCGGCGAATCGTCGGCATCCGGTATGTCAACCATACCTGTTGCGGAACATCGTCAACAGTGTCCGAGGCAAGTCATTTGACTTATTCCGTTCTGTTGTTCGTCAGGCACTGTATGACCTGTAGAGACTCGAAACCAGGAGAAGACAGGGAGGCGGCAAGAGGGGAAATGCGGCATTCGGATCGCCAAGCGCTATCTGACCCGGAGCGTCGAAGCTATCCCGGGGGCCCAAGGATGGTGCTCGTATGTATAGGTCCAGATAAGCGAGGGGGGAAGTGAGTCCGATATATAGTAATAGCTTGTCGTAATACGTCCGTATAATACGAGGTGGATACACGGCTGTACTTGACGGCTTCGGTATCATACCACCAACCACTAGTTACAACAGAGAACTGCTGACTACTACTACGACGTCACTATGACTACCAGGTAGCTATCATAAGAGTAAAATTACCGACAATCTCTTTCGTGTACTAATATCACCCCGAGTGCATGGGATCCAACAGTTCGTCGGCAATCCAGACGTCCGGATATCCCTCTCCCCGTCTCTCCTTAGCTCGGATATCCTGCCTGGCGGACCAAGTGGAATGTATGCAGCCTGGTTCCCAGTAGTAGCCCTCTTAAGAGAGAAAAGAAGTTGAGGTGGTGGAACGTTGCGGTAAGCCTGACCTCATTTCCGGTCCTTTGATGTGTCGGGACCGGTACCCATCTTGTTGGAGCACCTACTCCCTACTAGGCAAGGCTGCATTCTAGCATCACGTGACGTTTTACAGGTCATGTGCAGTGCTCCCTGAATGGGGACCGTGTAATGGCTCAAAGCCAAGAAGAAGTTCTCGATAATTCCAATCACTGTCGATAAGTAGGCTGTAATTGCCATAAATG